TATTATATCATACCACTTTGAACTAAAATATCTCGTGATCCGATTCTTACTGTGTCTTTCGAATCTATTAGATCACTAAACATTCGATTCGCTGTATTCTTTAATGTTCTAATCATTTTAATTATTATAAATAAATATTATATTTGTGTTCTACTAATATGCGTTCTATTTTTTTTGTAATTAATTGTAAATTGTATTTTTAGAGTTAACACAATTGTGAGTATATAGTACGATTGTTAAATATAATGTCCGAATGTGGCACGAGCTATTTTAGGAATGCAGTTACTAGACATTAGTATGAAAAAAAATCTGATTTTTTTTTTACATGAATAATGGCTTTGCATATACAAAGTTGCGCCTCTTTCGTAAATTAATTCCCAAGAATAAATATTTTTTGATAAAGTAATCTTTCTCGAATACACAAGTATTTCTCAACATAAAATGTTATAAAACACGCGAGAAACGTATACGTACTAAAAGAGGGACATTGTACGTACGTATAGTGTCTTCATTAGGTGATATATTTTATGTGTACAGTTCGTACAGTATATAAAATTAAGAACATTGTTTCACTACATTTTTGAATTCCGGCTTAGTTATTTTCATTTGTGCAACATCTTTCAAAGTTTTAATATCTGCACGGAGTGCTATCTTGTGACAAGAAAACTCCACTCAGCAAAATAATTTCTTAGATTTTAACGATAATTATCTTTAAATCCATTATCTTTCTTTCATTGCATTATCAAGAACTATTATATGCCAACCACGCAACCAATGACTGCAACACCAAAAGTTGCTTCGATGGACGATAAGCATTATTATAAAGATCCAACAAAAAAAGACATACCATCAACTCCCATAGAGGATACAAGCCAAGAAAATGGATATGCCAGTCCAAGCCACAAGACACATAGCAAAACACACCGAGTATTGGACGACTATTCTGTAAGCATGGATGGTAATTACTCTCATTACTCGACTGAGGACGAAACTGAACAATTTCATCCAGCTAGTGAGAATCTTGACAACGATGTTGCCATACAGGGATCAGATAATGAAGATTGTTTACTCCAGGTTGAACACAATGGCCCAACAATATTACGCGATTCACCTTTACCTTCAGAGCTTCCCGAGTATTCCCCACCTGACGAAGGTTCACAACAGTGTGACGGAAGTGTGAGAACAAACCCGGATACAACAAACACTTCTAAGAACTCATCACAACGTCGACAAAATACAAATGCTCACGTGCAAAGTGTTTCAACTTCTGATCCCACCGGAGAAGCTACTGCTTCTGACACTAATAGCAACCGTCCAAGAATTAAACCAAAAAAAGTTCTTGGTAACTATACATTAACAAAGACATTGGGTGCTGGTAGCATGGGAAAAGTAAAATTAGCAATACATTCATTGACCGGTGAAAAGGTAAAAAAAATTTTTTTTTCTTGTTTCTTAATAATTATGATATCATTAAAATAATAGATCAAGATTTGATTCTAAATTATTTCATTTGTGCAAAGAAAATGATAATGATTATAGGCAATTGTTTGATACATTAATTCTGAATTTTTTAAAAAAATTATTTTGTGATGAAGCACATGACAATACTATAATAAAGTATATCAAGCCTCCGTGTCATCACTCCTGCTATTGATTAATAATTTCATTTTTAATTCTTGTCTTTTATCAAGTTGGCCGTTAAGATTATCCCAAGAACACTTCCATCTGACAAAGTTACAGATAATAAAAACAAAGACACATCTAAAGATGATAATAAGGAAATTCGTACCATTCGAGAAGCTGCAATAATGCTTTTATTGAACCATCCTTTTATAGTTCAACTCAAAGAAGTAATGGCGTTACCACACCATTACTATATGTTCTTCGAATATGTTAATGGCGGTCAAATGTTGGATTATATCATCAGCCATGGAAAACTAAAAGAGAAACATGCTCGCAAATTTGCTAGGCAGATAGTAAGCGCATTGGGTTAGTAATAATTTAAGATTATGTTACTAAAATATTTATATTTCCTATTAATATATTTTTATTTGGTTTAAAAATAGATTATTGTCATAGAAATTCCATAGTACATCGAGGTATGTAATTTTGATTTAATTTAATTTAATTTTTCAATTACTGTATTTAATATTTATTGATTGTACTTAACTTTAAAATCTTATTCTTGAATGTGCCAGATTTAAAAATTGAAAATATCCTTATATCTAAATCCGGTTCTATTAAAATTATCGACTTTGGACTATCAAATTTGTATTCACCACGCTCTCATCTTTCAACTTTTTGTGGTTCACTGTATTTCGCAGCACCGGAGTTGTTAAATGCAAAATTATACACCGGCCCTGAAGTTGATGTATGGAGCTTTGGAATTGTCCTCTATGTTCTTGTTTGTGGTAAAGTACCATTCGATGATCAAAGTATGCCTGCTTTACATGCAAAGATTAAAAGAGGTGTGGTTGAATATCCTGGATGGTTAAGTAGCGGTAGGTTATATTTTTTTGTTATTTTAACATCATAAATGCCAATTTATTCATAATATATTTTATTTTAAATTTTATATAAGATTGTAAACATCTCCTTTCAAGGATGCTTGTCACCAATCCAATGTATCGTGCTACACTTGCAGAAGTAATGAGTCATCCGTGGATGAATAAAGGTTTCGATGGGCCACCTGAAAATTATTTACCATCACGAAGTCCACTCACTCTTCCTCTAGATCCAGAAGTTATTC